TTAGGAGGTTTTAGGGTTTAGGGGGTTTAGGGTTTGGGGGTTTAGGGGTTTATAGTTCAGGGGTTAGGGAAGTGCAAAATGCTTAGGCAGTTGGGTGTAGAGCAGCTGGTAGATTGAAATCTAGAGGACGTGTGCTGTTTATTAGTTATGAAATTATGTCTATGTAGGTACATGAGTTTGCAGAAGCTAGTATATCTAAGGTTAGTATATACGTTAGCATCCATGAGGAGATGTGGCTTTTTTTGCATTGTTATATGTATCTGCAGTGATAGGGTGACCTGATGTACCGGGCTGGAGGATGGGGGGGAGTGCCTAGTAACCCAAACTCAAACCTCAAAGCCCTGAACGCTAAACCGTAAACCCTGAACTACGGCTGATGACATAAGTCCTGCATGACCCATAATAAGGAATATACCATAATTCCCACAGTTTAGGGTCCTTAGATTTTTGCAGGATGTATATCATCAACCGTAGCAGCGCCGGCATGTTAGATGCATGGCCTCAAGACTTCTCGGGCTCTACCCTACCCGTCTGTTTGGGGCACCTAGTCCATGTAACAGATACGAACCATGAAGCTAGCTGGACCCTGAATCTACCTTGTTAAGGATGTATATAAGAAAAGATCAGAGTGAGGAACCCTGAGAAGGTATCTCCTTTTTTGACGTCCAGGTAGGTATATACTGCAAACACGGGCTAGGGAATCACCCTCCAGGCAGGGTTTGCGGTTAAGGGAATACACTACGGGCTACATGTGCCTCTCGGGACCTGGTCCGTGAGAATTTGCAGAATGTGCGGGGAGCCGAAAAATTACGACACTGTTGGGTTGAGTTCGGGATCCTGCACAACATGTTCATTTGGCAAGGTGCTCTTCTTGTCGAGGCATTACAGCGAATCTCGCTGTGGCAGCAGCATACTTCATAGGCTGCTTAGATGTGGACATCAGACTGTGTGCAAGTATACGCCGTTTTACTGCGATTGATGTCCATCCTTCGTTCGTGGATCATCGGCCCTGTGTACTGTTGTAAGGGACCTCGTCAGGAATGCTAGCGTTTGGTATCTGAGAAGCGGGAGGTATCAACTGTACATTGGGCTACGAAGTCCAATTGTTGAAGGCCCGAAGCTTCTATCCTTGATCGTTTTAATTCCCAGACCTAATTCCTAAACCCTTAAACCCTAAACCCCTAAACCCTAAACCGGTCGTATATCACGGAGCCTCTGGATTTGTGCTTTCAGACATTGACAGGACTACGAGAAGCGGCACGCAGCAGCCTTGAAGGTGCCTTTTATGGGACTTTCCGAAAATAAGGGTTTAGGGTTTAGGATTTAGGGATTTAGGGTTTAGGGTTTAGGGTTTAGCGGTCCTTATAAAAAAAAAATCCTACTACTTGGGGTACTATATTAGGGTCCCCTATGTTCGGAAACCCCCAGATCATGCGTTGGACGGTTCGTGGTTTCTTGAGCTTGGAATGGAGGCCCAGGCACCTATGTTGCAGATTATTGTCCCTACTGTAGGTCCTATACATAGACCTGTGGGACACCTAGATTCTAGATGTGGTTGTCGCTTTTCGGATGTGGCTTTGACGGGAAGGGTTGTACTGCCAGCTTACTAAAAAGTATACTCTAGTGTGTACCAAAACCTAGTACGCAGTAAAGTAGGCAACCTTTAATTCCATGTCCCTGTAATACTGTTGATGATTTTAATCCTGCATTCCCCTAAGGACCCCAAACTATGGGAATTATGGTATGTTCCTTATTATGGGGAATGCAGGATTTATATCATCAACCCCTAAACCCTAAATCCCTAAAACCCTAAAATCCTAAAACCCTAAAGCCCTATGGGGAATGCAGGATTTCTATCATCAGCCGTATCCCAATGTACTCCTCATGCTTAACCTTGAGTTCCCCAGAATACTGGACAAGTAGGGAACCCAATTCTATTTGAGCATGCTCCAAAGGCTGCTGTGTGTCCGAGGATGGCCATGCAGGCTGCAAAGCTCAGGGGGGTCAGGGCCGGTATGTGCTCAGGCAAGTCCCCAGACGATCTTTAGCTTTTGATAGTCGTCTCTATGTTGTGCATTGACTGCTAATCTGAGACAATCCATGTACAGCTCAGGTAGTCTATATCACGTAGAAACATACTCTTTCAGCTGTTCGTTGTTGCGCTAGTGGGAAAAGTGAAGTGCGATATCTCTCAGTGCTCATTCCTGCTCCATCTCTGATGGACAGGTTATGAGCCCAAGAGAGCTCTGTCCACTGCGCCATGGACTCCGCAGGTTCCGGTATGGAGCCGAACTATGATGATGAGAGTATACGTGAAGACGCTGGAGATCACAGACTCCCTGAATTGTCGGGCAATACTGCTGCCGATGAAAGTGGATCAATGATTCAAGGAGCGTCAGCAGAGCCCGAGACGGGCCATACTGCAGGACAATCCTTGGAGGAGCGAGCTGCAGCAGAGATCTTGGCTGGAGCAGAGGACTTGGAACCAGAGTATGATTTCGAGTCTGCAGAAGGTGGTGTGCCTTCGCCTAGCCGAGATGATGTTCGTCAAGGGGAAGGGATAGGCGTCTCTGAGCTTCGTGGGCGGCATCAAGTAGAAGGAAGCATACAGCCTCAGCCTGTGAGAGGTGGGCCTCGTCAAGGGCGTGATGAAGGCTTGGCTTCTGGGGCAGGTGGACGTCCTGGATATGGGCGCCGCGATGCTGCGCAGATAAATGGGACAGCGGGTGTTGGAAAGGGACAAGGGAACCCATCAAGTTTTTCTGGCTGGGAGGAAGCTGGTTTTTCTGTGCGGGCTTCGGCTGAACCACAGAGTGCAGTGCCGAGTTTTTCTGGCCAGAGCGCCCTGAACGCTGAAGCAGCTAGGATGGAAAACTTGGAAGTTCTGGTCCAACACCTGTTGGAGCAAAATGAGCAGTTGAGAAGAGAAAGACAGGATGGTCTGCTGAGGAACTCAAGTGATTGGGACGTAGGTAGGGCAGGTTCTGTACAGAGTGAGGGTAGAGTCCGAGCTGAGGGTAGAGGCCTTGTGGAAGGTAGGGTAGCTCGATCGTCTGGGGAACTACGTGTGAGAACTGGTAAAGGTATAGGTTCTAGTGGTGATGATGGTTGGGCCCCGTCCTTGAGAACCTTTGCGCCTCCATGGACCAGCTTTGCACAGAATGATGATGATGTCGCCCCGTCTCTCCCCGTCATAGGTCCAGGTGACAGGTTTCTTGCCGCTACGAGGGCTCTGCAGCAGATGAGCCTGGATGAGGGCACGAGCCTGGTGGATCAAGATGTTGAGATGCCAATGTCAGCAGCAGTTCCTGTGCAGGCGTCAACAACAGCGCCAGTGCATGCGTCAACAGCTGTTCCAGTGCATGCGTCAACAGCTGTTCCAGTGCATGAGTCAACAGCAGCTCCAGTGCTTGCAGCAACCACTGTTCCGTGGCCCCTCCCAACAGCCATTAGTGGTGCCGGGATGCCTCAGTTTAAGGGAAATCTTTCAGGAGTTGAGGGCATACAGCAATCAAGTAAGAGGGCTGGGGATGAGCAGTCTCAGAGGGTAGACTCGAGGAGTACTGTGGTTGCTGAACCGTCAACTTCTGTCACTGTGGTGATAAATGGGGTTCAGAGAACTGGGGTCTTTAATGATAAGGGGGAGGTTGTACTTCAGTCGGAGTCGCCTAAGTACTTTGCTTTGGAGGATAGGGTTGTTTGGGGCTCGCAGGAGGCTTGCCCAGAGGTACAAGGTAATCCTTTCTCAGCCAAAGCGCCCTCTCCTTTCAGATCTGTTTCGCCCCCAAGACAACGATATGAGCATGAGTCTCCGCCTCCACCGCCTCCACCACAGGCGCCCGTGAGTCACATCAACCGGGGGTGGGATAGAAATGGTAGGGTTGCTAGTAGGTCGCCGGGTGGGTCAAGGTTGGGTTACTCTAGGCGAGCTAGTCGTTCACCTAATCCCAGTCCGCCTCGAGTGCCAGCTCCTGCGGCGTATCAGGTCAATGCCTCGCCAGCAACCCCAGGAGGAACTAGGCTCCCGAAGGCACCCCCTCCTGTTAGCCCCCCTAACCAGGACAGTTCTCAAGCTGCGTTTGCTGTTAGGACAGGTGACACAGAAGTTAGACTGTCTTTGGGGGATGGGGATTCGAAAGACTTCAGGCCAGGGGAAAGAACTTTGTGGGAGTTACCTGTGTTGGGGTCGGTTGCGGATCCTAACCCGGCTACGCGGTTTAGCGGTTGGATTCATCGGGTGACTCCTTTCTTCAATGATTTGGCTCCTAGGGGTCATGAGTGGTGGCAACAGGTTCTGCTTGAGGCTAGGACTGAGTACGATAAGTGGTGCAAGGCAAAGCCTCTGGAGCGCTCGAAATTAGTCTGTAGGCCTAGTGATATGTGGCGAATGGAAAGGTTCGTGAGGATTGAGGCCAGAGGGGTTGCGATGTTGACCAAGGCGCTGCCCTCAGCTTTGTATGAGCAGGCGCTCAGCTTGCGGAGCGTTACATGCACGTGTCTTTTGTTTCTCGCGATGAGGATGTTTCAGCCGGGTGGTCTTTCGGAAAGGTCGGAGCTTCTTAAGGGCCTAACAGCACTGGCGGTGAGTGAAACGGCCGCTAGTGCAGTCGCTACGCTTCAGAAGTGGTTTCGGCATCTTGAAAGGGCCAAAGCCATGGAGATCAGTGTTCCTGACAGCTCCTTATTGCTAGATGGAGTGGACAAGTGTATGAGAGGGATCCTTCAATCCAATCCCAACCTTCAATTCCGAGTGCAGGCAATCCGAATGCATCTTCAGCTAGACACCACGCCGAGTCAGGAAGCGGTTGAGGAGTACACTCGTACTCTTCTTGCAGAGATGGAGTTGCTTGCCGTGTCTGCGCCCGATGCTGGGAGCAAGAGGCAACGGGTGGCCGCGCTGGGGCAGGATGATGACAAGGGAAAGGGTCGGAGGGGAGTTAAGGGTGATGAGGCATCGCCACCGACTGGGACGGGGACAGGCAGAGGTGGGAAGGCAGACTTACGCAAGGTGTGTCCAGCTTGGTCTACCGATGCTGGATGTCCTCAGGGAAAGTTGTGCACTATGGCACACACGCCGGAGCGTCCTGGAGGGTGCTGGGTTTGTGGGGGCCAGCATCATAAACATGAGTGTAAGGCACCTGGAGGAGGTAAGGCCCCTAAGACTGATGGAGCTCCTACAGCTGGTGGTGGCGATAACGCATCTAAGGGCAAAGATGGAAAAGGAAAGGGGGGTGGGGGGAGAGCGAATCCCAAGAACCCTCAAACCCCAGCTCCAAAGTCCACTCCAAAGGGTGGGGGTAATCAGGGCAACATTTCAGAAGCGGCGATCAGGGAAGCTGCTCAGATCCTCCAGAGTCTTCGTTTGTCAGCTGTTCGATGTGACATCAAGAGTGCCTCTGAGGTTCTTAGCCGAGCTAACGAGCATGGCCGCCGTGGGCTAATAGACGGGGGGGCAACGTCCTGTCTACGCACTGCTTATGATATGGAAAGAGCGCTACCAACAGTACCTGTAAAGTTGGCTTACGGGAGCTGCGACTTGCACATCAATCAGTATGGAACCTTACTTAGCGTGGTTCCGGTTTC